TATATTGCAGAATCAGCCACTGGGACTGTTCAGTTAGGAGCTGTGAGAAACTTCCTGCCACAATCTCCAAAAGCATTCTCTGGGGAAAGTCCCTCTTAACATCTTTGTAACTGCTAAAAAGATGTTCAGAGAAGTTGATCACATATAATTTATTTATATAATTATCAATTTAAAAGCCTGTATCTGCTTATCTTATTTATTTGAAAGGTGAAGATCTCTTATCTACTGGTTCACTCCATAAATGATCACAACAGCTGAGGCTGGGAGAAATTGAAGCCAGTAACCAGTAACTCAACCTAGGTCTCTCCTCTGGGTGGCAAGTACAAAAGAACTTGACCTATCACCTGCATCACCTAGGATGCTCATTACTAGGAAGCTAGAAATGGAAGCACAGAGCTGGAACTTGAATTCAGGCACTTGAATATGGAATGTAGACATATCAAGTGTCTTCCTAGTCACTATACCCAGAACCTGCCCATCCTGAAATTTTAGATTAAAGGAACAGTATATACTGACGCTGAAACAGGAACTGATTGAACTTTCCTGACCATCAGACCCCCGCGACCACTGAATGGTGAGGCAGACAGTGTTCAAACAGCAAGAACCACTGGAGACAGTCTAATCGAGCATGTCTATTTGTTGTAAAGCAATCACAAACTTATCCAGACTAAAGAAGGGGGAAGGCAGAAAGGCGTCTCCTAACAGTCTTCCCACTCTAACAACTACACTGTAATTGGCTAGAAGGCATGTCTATCTCTCTGAACGCTCCAATCATGTCACAGGTCACATACAACACGCACAGCTGTCAGGCATGCCACAGGTTACGTTTACCACACGTGGCTGGCAGGCAGGCTGTGGTTCAACACATAGGCTGGCAGGTAACGTGGACCACACCGGGCTTTTCAGAGTTGCTTATCAAGGAAGTCCCAGCACAGCTCCAGCAAGGAGAAGTGCAACTGGGGTGCAGCCACCACTCTCTCCTGTACGGCCAGTGATGGAGCCAGTTTGAGGTGTTGGTACACCAAGATCATTGCCGGGGGGTTCCCCCAGGAACATGGAGTGCCGCATCCTCATGACCCTCCATAGGCCAAGAGATCCCAGGGCGATCCCCCACAAAACATTCTCAACAGGACAATTTGAATGGATGAAGAACACGCGACTTGAGATTCGAATTTTGTGCATCTTCAACTGAATTATAAATGTGGTATTTATGTGACGCATAAATTTACTAATGTAAGGATTATTTGCTGATACATAAAATGACTGTGAAACTATTTTTGACATGAAATTGTCTTTTTAATACATTACAGATATTTAAGAAATCATGAGTCTTGCCATTTAAAACATTACCTTGCAAAAGAGAATGGGGAAAAGCATTCATATATGACAGGCCAAAAAATAAAATAAACTTGATTATAACAAATATAACTAGAAATATAGAGGGTGCATAAATGTTGAAGAAAAATTTTAAACGGTACTATAAGGTACCAATGAAAACTTCAACATGTAGCAAGGCATATCTTGGTCTAACATAGAAAACCTTATATAAAAATGCCAATTCTCTGTATAGAGATTAATATCTTTACTACCCTCACAAACCTAAAAAAAATTTTAATAACATTTTTGGGGTAGGATAGCATTTATGGGGTAGTGGTGACTAAAATACTCAATCTTAAATTTGAATTAAAATTAAATATGTGAAGATACACAGAAAAAAGCCTGAAAAAATCAAATTACCAACTAATCTAAACAAAACAACATTCATCAGGTAGAAGAAGAGATGGAACAATTTTTTAAAAACCATGAAATTTTGTTTGGTTTTGAAAACTAGGCTCCATCCAAAATAGAAATTTAATATACAATGAAGGTGGCCTTGCAGATCAGCAGGGAAAGGATTCAACGAATAATTCTAGAATAAGCTGTGCTACCTGGAAACACACACACACACTCACACACACACACACACACACACACACACACACACACACACACACACACACAGAGCTACATTTCTAATGCACTTAGTTTTTAAAGCATTGTTAACTGAATGAGTTACTCCTGAAGAGCAAGTTCTCTCTAACTGGTTTACTCTCCTGTGAGCACAACTGCCACACCCGGGCCAGGCTGAAGCTAGGAGCCAAAAACTACTTTTAGGCTTCTCATGTGGGTAGCAGAATTCCAAGTAGGGGGACCATCTTCTGTTGCCTTCTTAGGCATGTTAGCCGTGGGCTAGATACAAAGTGGAGCAGCCAGGACTCGCTGGTGAAATGAGACGCTAGCATGGAAGCCTGTGGCTTAACTCACTGCTCCACTCCTTGGACCATTCTTATTTACTCGTAAAGCAGAATAAATATTAGATAGGTCAAAAATGTTTAACTGTAATTGTCAATGCATTATAAGAAAGCAAAGTAAAGTTGCTTTGGATTTTTGCATGGGAAAATTTTCTACATGTGTAATTGCAAAGGATGGCACACGGATATCAAAATAAACTTTACCCCATCAAAAAAAAAACCCTACAAACATGACTCAAAATATCCTGAAATGTAAATAAAGGAAAACAATTATGAGAATATACTGAAATACACATTAAATAAAAAATATAATTTCACTCATTTAAAAATAGCTCATGGGCCCAGTGCAGTAGCCCAGTGGCTAAAGTCCTCACCTTGCACATTCCAGAATCCCAAATGGGCACTGATTCTGATCCTGGCGGCCCCACTTTCCATCCAGCTCCCAGCTCATGGCCTGTGAAAGAAGTCAAGGACAGCCCAAAGCCTTGGGACCCTGCACCTGTGTGGGAGACCCGGAAAAGGATCCCCTGCTCCTGGCCTTAGATTGGTTCAGCTCCAGCTGTTGCAGTCACTTGGGGAATGAGTCAGCAGACAGATCTTCATCTCTGTCTTCCCAACTTTCCAATAAAAATAAATTAAATCTTTTTTTAGAAGCTCATATTAATCAGTAACAAATATACCTGCCACCAAATAGAAGATCACACAATGCTCAAACTGAAAAATTCAAATAACTTTTTAAAATTAGATACTCATTGGTATTCATGATATAAAAAAGGTACACTACGAACCAGCATGATGGTGGAGGATAAGCCTTGGCACGTGGCATCTGAGTTCTGGCTGCTCCGTTTCTGATCCAGCTCCCTGCTACCAGCCTGGGAAAGCAGCAGAAAGCATGGTCCAAGTGCCTCCTTCCCTACGCCCACGTGGGAAACCCGGAGGACGAGAGCGGCTCCTGCTTCAGAACAGCCTGTCTCTGACCACTGCAGGTTCTCTCTGCGGACCGAGCTCACTCTTTCCTTCTCCTACCGCAGTAGCTCTTCCTTAAGAAATGAAATACTTCCAAAACTGCTTTCAAAATGTTTCACAAAGTATTTAAGAAAATAAATATGCACATAATATTAACACTTTTTACCTACTCGACCTACTAAAAGAATGCTGGATAATTGACTGTGTAGGTAAAGTACAAGAAAACAAGCACTTGAATTCAGGCATCTGAATATGGGATGTGGACATAACACACTGCTAGAGCAGTGTAAGTTAATAAGTTTATTATGAAGTGCTGTTAGGCAACATCTACTAATAATATCCCGTGAGCCAGCAACTCATCCCTTGTGACTTATTTGACATGTATAATTATACATGTGTGCAATGAACATGTTTACAATGACTTTCAATATTATGTGCATGTCAATCCTGAAAGACAGAACAAAATCTAAATGTCCACCAAGAAGGAAATGGTTGAAGGCAAGTATTGTGGTTAATCCATTGCTTTGGATATTGATCCCATACAGGAGCGCAGGTCTAAGATCGGACTATACCACTTTTAATCCATTTCCCTGCAGATGTGCTTGGGAAGAAGCAGATGATGGGTCAGGCGCTTGAATTCCAGTCACCCGCATGGGAGACCCAGGTGGATTTCACAGATTCCCTGGCTTCAGCTGACTACGTCTCTACCTTTTGCTGCCTTTGGGGGAATGAATCAGTGCATGGGAAAATGATTCACTTTCTGCCTGTCTCTCGATCTCTTTCAAATAAATAAGAAAATAAATTTTTTTCTTTTAATTAAAAAAAAAAGGACAGGTGAATGGTTAAATAGACTTTGAAATTTCCACAAATAGGACAAGCAGGAGCAATGAAGGACAATGAATGCACTTGTTGCTTTGGTAATGGTAATTAAGTGGTTGAACAAAACCACTCTCTGCGTTAAAGACTTTTAACTTTATCAGGTTTCACATGTTCCAAGTTTGGCACAGTGTATATTATATGAAGTAAAATTCCACAATTCCACAAGTGAACTTTAAGTTTTTATTATTTTGCCACAAATTATAGCCAGTTCTAAACAAACAGTTCCTAAGGAAAGCATAAAACACAACATATGTGTATAACAGAACTCTTAGATATATGTGATTTGTAGATATAGAATGTTGACGGAGTTTACTCTATTCCTGTAATAAAAGAAGTGTAATCTAAAGGATATCTAGTGTAGGGAGAATTTGAATCCTGTCTCACTGGTTGCTCCCAGCACTGGGGAAAGGACGTGGTAGACCCTCTTTTTCAACATATCTTTAAGAGGAAGAGATTCTATATCCCTTTATTTACTTATTTGGGAAACCACTGAGTTCAAGTTTCTATCACATGGAAAAATTAAATCGGAGCTTAAACTTTCATTTTTCTTTATGGCTGACATGGGGATTATATAATTTTAGAAAAGCTTTTTAGTAGAACAAGAAGAGATAGGAAATAAGCTCTCTCTCTATATATGTGTGTATATATATAAAATTGTGATATATATGTGTATGTGTGTGTGTATATATATATATATAAAATTGTAAACAAGGCATCACTTTTGAAGTAAAAAACTTCCTGATGTTCAATAGGATAAATTGTATAATAAATGAAGACAAGGTTAATTTTGAAAAGAATATTTCAATTTCTCCATAGCTTTTTACAAGTGACTGTCTTATCTCACTGTTGGGAAATCCTTTCATTTCATTCCAAAGAGGAACTACGTCCCTTATCTACGGCAACTTCATTTGAAGTGCTATGGGAAAGGAAAACATCTTCTTTAAGTAATGCTTCTAGGTAAGTGTCAATCTGCTCCGGATCACCTACTGGACAACCCTGGAAAAGAGAAGCAATAGTCACCTCGGAGGAAGAAACTACAGCGCCCACGGCTGTATTCTGTGCAAGCTCCAGAGTCCTCACCACACTGGCCTTGCACTTGCTCTCAATTCACCTCTCATTTTAAAGTGCATTTATTTTTTAGCCTTTTAGACAAAACAGAGATAATTTTGACTGCTTCATTTTTCATCTTTCCACTCTCACATCTTTTCCCACAACCTCTGGCTTACACTATTGTCCTGGGCTCCTCGGTCCATGGACAGATCTGTGGAACAGATGCTGCCTCTTAATTTACTTACATCTTATTCCCTAAAGGCCCAATTTGGAGATTATCCAGCTCTGTAAGTCACAGGACAGAGTAAGACAATTTTCAGAAAAGTTTTTCAGAAACAATGCCAGCTTTAATACTGCTCCCACTAAGTGCTGAGCACCACCATCTTTCTAGTCAGTCTTTGCTTCCTTTAAGCAGCATGAATTGAATTGAGTCCTGGTTTTGTGGCCCTGGATCCTGTTCCTGCAGGTGAGTCACAACACTGATATTTAACTAGATGTCCAAACATCACTGACCTTGATAGGGGTTCTCCCATGACCCTTCCTGACACTAAGATCTTCTTGGCCTATTAGGTACAATCCAATCTCATGGCTACGATTACCTACCTAGCTGACCGAACTTCCTCAGCACTTTAGGTGAGTTCTATTGCCAGCTTCTTCATCTGCCTTTCCTATTCCATCTGTTGTGGATCTACTTCATCTTGAAGCTATTTCATCTAGAAGCTCTGTTCCACTGTAGTGGCTCTCAATGAGACACAGTAAAAATAGAGATTTCAAGTAAGGTGGTGAGAGTAGTATATGTGAATGGGAGCCCTTTGAGTACTGTTCCAATGACACTAGGTAAAACATTGCATGCTCATGCCCTGCTGGCCAAAGCCCTTCACTTCTCTACCCAACACTCTGAATACGGTGAATTAAATTAGTGTAATTATTCTGGATATTCAGGAGAAACACTTATAAAGCAAACAATTAATGAACTTAGTAAATAATTATTTCAATACTATAGCTTTTTAATTATTGTTTAGATGATCATGCACTAAACATAAAGCAAAAATATTCTTTGAATTTCCTAATGTAATTAAGGAGAAGATTTCCTAGTAAATGAAAAGATATATAATTGTTTTGATGGGTAAATGGACTTCCACCTTAAATTGTTGACAGAAACTGAAGCAATCTAGTTTCAAAGCTTAATGCTTGTTACTTTCTACACTAATAGATGGTTAGGTTCCTAAACTGATTCCAAACCCCTTTAGGAACAAGGGGGCCCATGGCTCAGTCCTCCAGGCCCTCTGCAGGAGTCTCAGGCTCCATGCATGCATGGCCCAATGAAGTTCTGTCTTCCCTCTTAACTCTAGGCGTCCAAGTTAAGGAACGTCATGTACTCTGTGGACTTACTGTTCTGGCTTAGACTTCTCTCCATTTGTTTTTAGCATCCACAAAGTTTTCAGACTTGCTGTATTTCATTCAGTATTTCTATGTACTATCACAGAAGATGAGCCATTCCTCATTGCCTTAATCTATTGAAGAAGCTCAATTCTTCATGTTTTAAAATACATAGATGAGGATGATGGCAATCTATACTTACACATTACATACTGATCTCTCCAACTTTGCCTCAAACCTTAAACACACATATATTTTTATGTAAATTAAAATATTGTCTGAAAAAAGAATTCCCACTATACTCATTCTACTGAGGACGCTCTGAAGGTGAACATCCTACAGCATCCACAAAGATTTTGATTTAAACATAAAAAAAGAAGAGAAGTTTCTAAATTTTTCTAATATGTATCTTGCAAGTTCACTTCTGTTTCCCCTATCATTATACAGAGAGTAAGAGCTGGGGTAAGTGACCTCTCTGCAGCTAGAAAGTGAATGCAAATATTAGGGAAGGAAGTATCTTAGTGCTCTTTTAACAGAATATAATCTTATTCCCCAACAAAATGTCACACTCACCAGCTGAAATTTATGTAGCAATGCTGCCACTTGCACACGGAGCTTCTCCAGTTTACCCTCGGCAATTGTTCTTTTTTTTTCACATTGTCCCAGAGAGATTTCATTAAGTACCCCTCTTCTGTTTGCTTCATAGATAATGGATTGCACTTTTTTCTTTACTTTTTTTTCATATTGAACCATATAAACATTCTGGATCTGGGAATATTTTTACAAAAAAAAAAACCTTTCAGTTTTTTAAAATAGTACTTTTCGTCTTAACATCACAGGAAATTTAATATTCCAACTCTGCAATTATGTACCAAGTGATGATTCCGTAAGTGCCATTGGAAATCTAAACTCTCCTTATAATACTCTAGCGTGATTGAGGAATTCAACCATGAGCTCAGAGACGTTGGCTTTGTAGTGTAGGAGAAACCTCACAAGGGCTGAATTTGTTCTTTCACTTGTGGTATCAACTCATTCAAGGGAAAAGGGAAGCAGGTATACGTGACTCCACAGTAGCAGTAACTCATAGGAAATGACAGAATGGCCAGTCTCCTGGGAGCTGTCTTGGCAGGAAGTGTAGTATTATTAGAACTCAAGTCTGTGGTATCTCTAATGTGCATACACTGTATAAAAAAAGAGGAATTTTTGCTCCTGTTGCTGTCCTTATTTTGACGAATATAGTAATGCATATGACTCTTGCTTGCTCATTAGTTTTGGCTGTTGTCTGAGGATACATGGTATGCCAGAGGCACTCATGAAGTAGGAGGAGGTAATGGAAAGAGAAAATGATTCCATTTCAGGTTGATATTAACTACTTGTATCACATTTTGAGAACGTCTGGAGACATTCTGACATAACAGATGTTTGGTAAATTCCATTTGGACAAATATTAGAATGGTTTGCACTAACGAGATTCCTATGCTCTACCACGGATAGCGCTTGCGTTCAAGGTCTGTTGGCCCTCTCTCTACCACGTTTACTACTGTTTTTAGACCTTTCTCAGACACTGTGCCAATCTAGTCTAGTAGCCACTCTTGTTCCCATGAGATTCTCTTACTTCCATAACATCTTTATACAAATAACCAAAACCCCTCAATGTTGAATTTCTATTCAATAATAATAACATTCCCCAAAATAAAGGCACTGAATTTAGTTATCAGCGATTCAAAGATATTTAAATACTTTACCTTCAAGAGCATGCTAGCCTACAGTTCATAACACACATGTGCAGAGGAGAAAGAACCTTTTGTCCCTGAGTAAAGCTCAGCTACTATTAGAGTTGAGAGATGGTATGAATGATCCATTAGATGAAAGAGTTTTAAAATCCTGACTTACAGGATCTGACAGACTTACATCAATAACTTACTCTGATTACTTGCAATTTTCAAATATGTTTCCTTGAAAGGAGTACTTTGGAATTTTATGAGTGCTGAGGATATTTTCTGTAAAAGGTGTCAATTTTGGCAATTTTAAAAGTTCAATGTGAAAAGACATCTAACTGTATTAACATTTTAATTAAGCTGAGAACTATAACAGGCTGAGAGACTTAGTTCTGCTAGCTCACCTGACTTTTGTAGAGGTATTTATCGTGGAACAAAAATGGAATTCTTTCCAAATTCCATTCATCCAGAACAGAATTAGAACTTGAAAGAAAGGCTATTCAACGGAAATTCAAATTTTCTGCCTTGAATTCGAAAAGTGAGTTTTAGCAGTTTTGCAGCTTTAGAAGCTTAACAAGTTTGGGTAAAATAAGGAAGTTACACACAAGGTATGTATTTATGCCATACAAATAAGCATATGCATGTGCTTCTGTAGGTAGGCAGGATAACAGAAAGAGTCAACTTCAATAAAACTCAAATATAAATATTTGGCTGCATCCAAAGTTATTGACTGACACTGAGATAAAGAGCTTGAGAAGAGAGGAGTACTAATTTCAAGGATTCTAAAACCTAGATAAGAACATAAAATATAAAAAGCTAATACAGGGCAGAAAATTTAATTAGGAGCATCACAATTTGAAAGTTCTTTTAGTACACAGAGATGAAGCTTAATTTCAAAGAGAGAGACTAGGTCAGACTTCATGTAAAAGATGCTTTGACCAAGCTCTAGAGAGAAGGCAAAGAAATTCAAGGCTCCCACTAAGGACTTGGAAAATGGTTAGGTGTTTATGAGGACTCCATGGAAAAAGACTCAGGGCAGATCAATATAAGAGATTTAGAGAAACTCATGGCTTTGGGTGGAACAGCTATCCTATGAGAATATATATATGAACAGCTGGACTCAGACGGAGCACAACCATGCCATCAGTACCATTACAGTAGTTATGAAAACCACTAAAACCACTGACACAGGGTGAGATGAACAGAGATTTGTGACTTACATAACTCCCCCGTCTTTCATGTATACATTAGTCAGATTCTCATTGCAATCATGAAATATGTGAGATAAGCTATTTTTGAAGGAAACGGAGCTTTATTTTTTCCATTATTTTGGAAGTTCAAATCCTAGTTGGATAACTCTATTGATGTGGTCTCTAAGGATGGCAAGGAAATTACCGAGGCAAGATGCGTGCAGGAAAAATCGCATGAGGAGTCAGGAAGCAGAGGACACGCTGGGCTGAACTCAGAGTTCTATACCGACTTTCTCCTGTCAGAACTTCCTTGAAAGTCTATGTTGCCAGCAACGTAAGGACCTCCCACTAGACTCACCCCCTAAACATCACAGCTAATTAACTTTGCACTTTCCCAGCATCATTAAAAGCTAAAGTTCAAAGTTCTGCAGGAGTTTTTGGAGCTGGTTCACTCCCCTAATGCGCTCATGGTCACAGCAAGACCAGACTAAAGTGGCAAGTTGGGATCTTGATTCATATCTCTCACAGAGGTGGCTGGGGCCCAAGCACTTGGGCCATCACCTGCTGCCTCTCAAGGTGCCAGAATCAACACCTGAGGCTGGATTCAAACCCAGGCAATGTGCTGCAGACTTCCAATGTCCCATGGAACGTTTAATGCCAAACACGAGACCCCAGAATAACTTTTATATCTACTTAAAGTTACTGATCATTGGCCAAATCCTTAAGATTAAGAAGTTTTATTATGAGGAAAATCATGATTTTAATTGCACAGTTTTTGCTTGTTTGTTTATCACATCTGACTCAACAGAAATTCTTGAACTCCTGGTTCTTATACTGGCGTCACTCCTAGAATCCAGCACTTTGAAACAGGCATGGTAAAGCAGCCCTTTAGGTTATTACTTGCAATGCTTGCATCACTTCTTAGAGTGCTGGTTTGGTTCCTAGCTACTGAGCTTCTGATCCAATTACCTGCTGTTGTGCTTAGGATGCCATGGATGATGGGTGAAGTGCATGGGTTCCTGCCACCCATGTGTGAGACCTCTGGCATTGGCCTAGACCCTAGCTTTTGTAAACATTTGAGCAGTGAACTAGTGGGAGGAAGATGTTTTTCTCTCTCTCCCTCTCTTTAACTCTGCCCTTCAATTGATAAGTTTTTTTAACCATGAAAAAACACTATTTGAAAAATATAATATAAAATATAATAGTAAAGTATAAATGGAATGCAAATTTTGCATTTTCTTTTAGGGCACAGAATATTTACAAGGAAGTCTTCACACTGCAACATTTACACTTTTCAACAAAGCATTATTCAGAAAATAAATTCATTTTTCCACTGAGCAGTAATGAGAAACAGAAATACAATCCCTGCCCTCTTTCTTCAACAGAAACATTAGAGCCATAAGTATCAATAAAGATTGCTAATTTTAGGGTACCTCCTAAAATTTGAGTATATTGTAAGTACTTTGTAAAGTGTCATAAGAAGGAATTCGATTTTAGCTTCAGTTTTCATTTCAAGTTTTCATAGTCATATATCTTTGGGGACTTTATATCACAATTCCTTCTCATTTCTGCATCAGGAATATTCAGATGTATTCCATGACTTACAAAACAGATGAGTTGCCTCTTAGAGTTGTACTTTGTCCACCTCCAGGGGTCCCAGTGACTTCCTTGTTTGTAGAATTGCATGTTCTGAGATTGTTTTTTGGAAGCTGGCTCTAAGCATCAACACACAGAGCAAGACTGCACGTGCTGTGGGGACACAGCTGCAGAACAGTGTGGGGAAACAGAAGTGCTCAAGAAGACCCAACACTTCCATCTTGTTCCAAGCGCCTTGAGAACTTCTAGGCTTATGACATCTAAGATGCAACTGCATGCCTCAGTGGCCATCTCGGCTCCACTTTAACCTCCTTGTCTGCTGGTCAAGTTCACAGCTTGCAGTTCCCTTGAGTGTAAAACCAGAGAGTTGAGACTACAGGAATTTTTGAGGTATTTCTGTTGCAGAAATGGAAGATACTTAACTTCAAATTCCCTCACAAAGTCTTAAAGGAATAAAGGGAATAAGATACATAGCATTATTTATTGAAAAACTCAATATGCCAAAACATGTACAATTTAATATACAAAAATATGTCAGCAATTTTGGAATGGTTTGAGAAAAGTGATGAAGCTCTTTAAATTCTTTTTACTTGTATTAGCATTAATTATAACTATTTGTATAATAATGGAAAAATCATAAAATTGCTAGGGATTAATGCTGAGGCACAGTGGGTTAAACTACAATGCATAATGATGGCAGCTATGCAGACACCAGTTTGAGTCCTAACTTCTCCACTTCCTAACCAGCTTTTTGCTAATATGCTTAAAAAGCAGTGGAAGATGGGCTACAGCATGCATATGTGAGACCCAGATGAAGACCTTGGCTCCTGACTTTGGACTGGCCCAGCATAATAAAACAAGATATTAACTCTTACAGAACAAGCTGTCTGGCCCAGCCCCAGCCCCATTGTGGTCATCTGGAGAGTAAATTAGCAGATGGAAGATTCTCTTTCTCTAAGTCTGCCTTTCAAGTATAACATAAATCTTCAAAAAAAAAAAAAACTACTAAGATACTTTAAAAATAAAGGGTATCAAACTGTCTGAAGTAATTTAAAACTTGAACCTACATATACTTTCTGCCCTAATCTATTTTAAAGTTTCCATGAAAATATTTGATAAAGATGAAAAATATTCTGCTTCTTGTACAAATACAGTCCTGGAGCAAGTGTTTTGCATAGTATTAAAAATGCTACTTGAGACACTGCATTCTGTGTTTGAGTATCCACATTCAAGTCCTGGCCCGACTTCTGATTCCACCTTATTTTTTTCATACATCCTGGGAGGCACAAGATGATGGCTTTGGCACTTTGGTTTCTGTCGTTCACATGGCAGAAGGCACCTGAGTTGCTTGGCTCAAGGCTTGAACCTGGCCCAGCACCTCTATTGAAATTATTTGGTGAATAATCCAAGAGTGGATGATCTTTATATATTTGTGCCCACCCTATTCTCAAAGTAAATTAAAACTACAAATTTGCTCTAAGCTCTTCATAAGTTGTTGTAGAAATATTTACATTTTCAAATTCAAAAAAGACACGGTTTTATGACATCCTATATTCCCTGCATTAATATAAGTCTTCGTAAGTAAATGAAAACTTAATTTCTTTCCAAACCTAAGATTTGGCAGTGTATATTGTTTCTCCTTTGATACACAGGGTCATTTAGAATTTAAATGGCTGCATTGAAAGGAAGCTTACCTGGTCGAAACACATTTGCAGCTTTTGGTTTGTCTGCTCTGGCCATTGCTGCAGCTGTTTTCAGAAATAATAATAGAATCAGATATTAACTTTTACAAAACAAGCTGTCTGCAGCAGAGTTATAACATACAAGTATCCAGTATAAAAAGCCATGAATGACTCAAACTAACAGTGGCCCTCTGGATATTTTAAATCTGGGCCCAATTAAATTAATTAACTAAATTACACCTTACTTCAGTCCATCAAGGAATTAAGGCAGCTTACACAAATAAATACAGTGTTTTGTTAAATGCAGATTTTAAAAACCAAGCTGGAGGAAATAATAAGCATTCAGAGACATGACAGGAAGGCAACTGCAGTATGGATTTCTTGATAGGTAATTCCAGAGAAACAGACTGAGAAGCCTCGAGCACATGGGAGAGCACACAGTCAGAGATGAGCTGAAGTCACCTCGAAGTTCACTTCTTGAACAGTGAGAAGCAGGTCAGCCCCTGGACACGCCAGGACTAGGAAAATGTAGCAAAGACGTTGCCATAAAGAAAATGGGAGAGAGGGGAGCAAGGAAATGAAAATTATGTTGTCATGGATGTCACAACGGAACTGCTACAGGAGAACGGGGCATTTGGGTTGAATGCCTCAGAGAAGTAACTTAAGAAATAATAATGGTCAGGCTCAGGGTCATGGCTCAGTGGCTAAATCCTCAGTTTTTATGCTTGAGGATCCCAAGTGGGTTTGTGTCCCAGCTGTTCCACTTCCCATCCAGCTCCCTTCTTGTGGCCTGGGAAAGCAGTTGAGGATGGTCCAAAGCCTTGGATCCCTGAACCCACATGGGAGACCTAGAAGAAGTTACTGGCTCCTAGCTTCAGGTTGGCGCAAATTTAGCTGCTGGAGCTACTTAGGGAGTGAACCAGCAGGTGGAAGATCTTTCTGTCTCTCCTTCTCTCTGTAAATCTGCCTTTCCAATAAAAATAAAGAAATCTTAAAAAAAAAATGATGGTCACCAATGGTATTGACTAGCGTGGTTACAGTTTACTTGTGGAGTCAGCAGCCCTGTGGTAAAGGGTAAGGCAAGAATAAAAGATAAACAAGCTAACAAAATTACAGAGGAAATACTGGGACTTAATGCAGGGTCAGACTAAGGTATATGGCAACTCTGTCAGATTAAAAATTCACGTCTCTGTACATAGTGTCATGCAGCCAACATCTCTGCCAGCAGCTGCCTCCTTCACTGCCCTGGTCCTTCCCCACTACTTTCAGAGCAGCTCTTTTTGACCCCTGGCACAACTTCATCACGGCCCTGTGGGGACTATGTATTGACGTGTGATCAATGTGAAGTTTTCCTTCCGATTGCATATTGCACTTTCTCAAGGAGATTTACAAGACTCAGTATTGTTTATGTTTCCTAGTAATGTCTTAGTGGCTTTGGTTAAGATGATTCTTTGGGCACTAACAGGGCTACTGAATCTCCACCTCAGCTCCTCACAACAGACAGTGCAGGTACCTAAGGAATGGGCACTCTTTTTCTCTGCCACTACCTGTCTTGGTCTCCTTATTTTACCCACGGCCACAATGACTTCATCCATGATTTTAATTCTGAGTCAGCCATTTGATGTAAGGTTTCCCATCTTGATCTGCTTAAACCATTCTACATCCTCTTAATGGTAACACTTGCTGTTTTACTTCATTGATGATTAACTTTAGGCCATTCTGTCACAGAGTTCTAAAACCACCAACTTACCTCTGAATTTGCTGTAAGTTCCTCCACAGAGATGTAGTCCAGTTCTGCTGGTAGCTGATACTCAGGGAAGAAATAGAGAAGCAATTCCCTAGGAACATAAGCATAGCAGAAATGGGAGATGCCAGGGCAGAAAATGAGCACTTACCCGTACGAGCTGGGTTACTCTCCCAGCTGCTAAACATCCTGGCAAGGATAAACATTAATTCCACTTAAATGCTTCACCACTGCCTTAAAGTCTCTGGAGAAGGTCATGGATGTGATTATAAAACAGCAATAGCAGGGAATCCTGTGTGAGGGGATTGCTCTGTGCCTTAATTATCAGTGTTAGTCCCCTGATTATGACACCGTTCTGTAGTTTTGCAAGATATTACAACCGGTAGGAACTGGGCAAAGTGCTCAAGGGAACACTGCATTGCTTTTTTGCAGCTGGATATAAATCTACATTTATCTCAAATTTGTGGAGTGAAGAGAAGGTAGAAGAAAAAGAAAAGGGAGGATGGGTGGGAGAAAGGAAAGATAAAGAGAGGTGGGGAGAGAAGTGAGGAAGCAGATGGAAAGGGAAGCAGATGACAATCTTACAGTGCCTAGCAATGAATGAGTCAGGAAAACCCTGCATTGTTTCAGTGCTCTGCAGAGAACTCAGAATCCCAAAACTCCTGGGAGAAAAGTGGTCACCTACAGGTTTTCTTCTTCCTAGGAAAACCAAGTGATTCAACTCTCAGGAATAATACCCTTCATCGGGGCCTCCAGGATGCCTAAACACTATTCCTTCCAAATAGGGAAGGGGTTCTTAGTCCACCTGATGGCAAGTGCAGGCAGACACAGGGACAACAGATCTTTTACACAAACCTCCTGTGCTTTTCCCCAAATCCAATTTCCCTTCCTGACCAAAGGTAGAAACTTTTTTTTAGTGTTGGTCCTTTTGCTGGTGAATGTAAATTCTTTCGTTTAGAGTTATAACAAATCAGTTATTGCTGATTATTACACACACAATTATTATCATTATTAGGTAAGTATTATATTAGATAATACTATTAAATGTTACTTAATAATAATACTTATTAAATAAGCAATAGATGTTGACGATATTTGTTGGGGAGTGGGAGAAGCTTAAGAGTCAGGTTGGAGAATTTAAGATTCATTCTTAATTTTTTTCTTAATCTGTGGGAGTCAGAATCTACACCATAGATCATCTGTAGTCTAAACAATACCTTATGCATGCATCATCATTTACATAAATGGATGGATGTTATTTTAAAATCAAACATAATTTCATGTAAAGGCTGTACCATACTAGCTTTTTACTTTATATTTTCTGAAGTTCTTCAATTCTACAGACATATTTTGCACTCCTATCAACACGTAGCCTTTGTTCCATAGCACTTTCCACTGTCTTCCACTGTCTACATAGCACCTAGCATCATCTCCCATGCTAGCAGCCCATTGTGTTTTGGTGGTACTGATTCAACCTCCTAGGGTCTACAGACAAATAAGATGACTAATTCAACGAAGTGTGATAAATGCACAGAGCAGAATGAGAAGGAAACACCATGTGCACTGAGAGGAGGATCCCTAATTCATACACAGAAAGATCCAAAATAAGAGCATCAACTACACATCTAAGTGTGGGGAGAGGAGGCACAAGAAGGCAGCATTCCAGAACACCTGCACTATCTGTTGGGAGATTACTTCCTTCAACCCACTTCTTCTTTCTCCCTCCAAAACTCTCCAGCATACAGCCTTGAAATATTTTCAATGTAGGGTTGCTGTTAACTTTTCCCATGGAAATTCTATCCCACAAGCCTCACTAGAGACAATGACAAATTACACCAACTTCTGGTTCTAAACAGAAACATCTGTATATTTTCCTGTAAAACTAATAAAGGAAAACTAATAGATATCACTTTAAAACCCTGTAATTACCTAAGTCACATATGTAGTACCTTATTGCAGATGCTTAAAAACTGTCTTGGAGTTCCTTTCTTCAATGGCATATGTTATCTAACATTGCTCTGCTGTTGAACTGTAAATTTCTTTTTGGATACTGACAGTGATTCTTAATTCATTATAGACCCTTCAAGGAGATGAGCCAAGAGGCTCACAGCACAAGACTACAGGGATAGGGGCCACCAAGATGGCCTAGCATGCAAATCTTCAGCCTGGTGGCACCTGCATGCCATATGAGCACTGCTGGAACCCCAGCACCTGCACTTCTGACCCAGCTTCCTGCTAAAGTACCTGGGAAAGCAGCAGAGGATTGTCCAGCTTCTTGGGCCCCTGTACCCATGAAGGAAATCTGGAGAAAGCTCCTGATTCCTTCTTTTGAACCAGCCTAGCTCTGGCTGTGACAGCCATCTGGGGAGAAGCAGCAGATGGGAGATCTCTCTTTCTCTGTACAACTATTCCAAGTAAAACAAATTAATTTTAAAAAAAGACTACAGGAATAAATCCGTGTTCATTCATTTCTATCTGTGAGTTAAACAGATGCTATGCATTTGGGGAATTTCCAGAAACAAGCTATCATTTCAATAAGACTCTTATCCTACCTAGCAACAGTTATCCCTTGACACATATACTTAAAATTTTCTTCTCAGACACAACTACAAAACTAGGCATTTGACTTTGACATTGTCTCTCTGAAACTTCAAAATTAAATATTCTGGAGATCTCTTCCCCAGTGTTTACTCGGCTCCCTGGCATTAGCTATGATGCACATTTCAGACAAATATTTGTAAAATCCATATTCACACCTGCAGGTTGAAATCAAAAGTGTCTTTTAGTATTTATTTATTTATTGAGTTATTTGTGAGGCAGACAGACACAGATAAAAGCTCCTATTCAATGGTTACACCTCCAATGCTCACAACAGTTGAGACTGGGCCAGGGTTGGAGCTGAGCTGGAGCTGGACCACAACCTACATCTTCCACGTTAGTGGCAGGAACCCGATTACTTGAGCCATCACTTCTGCCTACTGGGCAGAACAGGACTTGGACAATCAAGCCCCTCCTGAACTGACATGTGGCCATTTCCTAACCATGTACCCATGCAGCTCCAAACCGAAGTGTGAGTGTTCACATTTTAACTGTAAAAAGAGACCTCCACAGATCCAATAGGGACTGCCCCAGGTAGTGTACATGCCCAGAATAGTGTAAATAAGAATGATACACAAACCTTGCTGGGAAGCTGGCAATGAACAGCACTACCATTTCATGTATGTTTCAAGCCAAACAAAGAGGCCTGTGCAGAACAGCAAGCCAGTGCACAACAAGACACTTTGTGCCAGGTGGGAGCCAGCAGACTTCACCCCCAGCTGAAAACAACCTGCCAGTTCCTCTCAGTAAGCCTCAGCAGAGCCTCTTCATATTATACTCTCCTGGGTTTGAGCACAAGTCCTGGTAAACTTGGCTTGAGTTGCATGTAGCCACTTACTAGTTTCTAATACAAGAGTCAGCGAACCTTGGATTTGAATCACCAGCTTCTGCACTAGCAGGAAGCGGTGGTCAGAAGCTGCAGCTCGGAATTGAATCCAAGTTTTTAATACAATTTAAGTAAAAACATACTCAGTTACCTTAGTCTCACCAAAGAGAAAAAGCCTTCTATGGGAGGTTGACTAAAACCCAAATTTTAAGTCTAGTAAAAGATTAGTGTGAAACAGAAATAGAATGACTATTTTCTCTTTGAGGTTTGTTATTCTTATTTGAAAATAAAAACACAATAACACAATTAGAGAGAGAAGGAGAGACAGGTAAATATTCTATCTACTGGTTTGCTTCCCAAATAACTGCAATGGCAGGAGCTGAGCTGATCTGAAACCACAAGACTCTTCTGAGTCTCTCACATGAGTTTAGGGTCCCAAGAATTTGGCCAATCTTCTGTTACTTTCCCAGATCAAAAGTAGGGAGCTGGATCAGAAGTGGAGCAGCCGGAACTGGAATTGGTGCTCACATGGGATTTCAGCACCATGAGTGGAGACTTAATCTACTATATCATGGTGCCAATCCCAGTGACTCTATTTTCTAATAGAAAAAATAAAGCAAAAAAACCAGAAAGCTAAATGTGATTATGTGATTTTTTACAGAAATCATATGCTTGAGTATCTGCGAGGTCTGTTGTTTTTTCTTTAGCAACTGGCAACAATCTGTAAAAAGTGATTTCTTTTGAAAATTTATTTTTGCATTTTTAAAATTTAATAGGGATCAGTTGTGGCACAGCATGTTAAGCTGCTTCTTGGAATATGTTGAGCCCATATCTGAATGTTGTTTCAAGCTCCAGCTACAAGGCTCAACCACTTTCTAACTATATTCCTGCCAGTGCAGATTCTGAGAAGCATCAAATGATGGCTCAATTACTTGGGTCTCCAACTTGGACACCTGGATGGAGTTCTGGGCTCAGGGCTTCAGGTTGGCTCACTCTTTTGAGAGAGCTGCAGGTACTTGTACTATGAATTAATGAAGGAAAATCTTTCTCTTATGCACTCTCACTACCCCTTTTTTTGCAATTCCTTCAAATGAATAAATAAATCTTTATAAACTAATTTTACAAAACAAAATAAATAAAATGTATGAGAATACAAAGCAATCATATGCCTCTATAGAACTGAAATAAAGGAAGTCGGCTTTATCATCACATAAACTGAAGCAAGGCATTACAATTTAACAGTTAAGAGCAAGAACTACAGGGGTAGAATGCCAGGACTGTCAGACCGCATACAGGAGTTATATAAGGCTCGGCACCTTACTTGAATTTTATATAAGCCATTTTTCTGTATCAACCTATAAAATGGACACAGTAAATGTATCAGATTTTAGGACTGTTGAAAGTTTTAATGTGGTAGTTAATGCAAGGATGCTGTAACAGTGTCTGGCATACAGTATGTGTATAACAAACAGTTACTGTTAATTATTATTATTACTGATACTCAGAATGGTTTGAAATGTAATATTACTATAATGTTTACAAACACATGATGTGTCTGAATAGTCTGGATTCTGGTTCACCTCATTTAGCTCCATCTTAACACTACTGAGTTTCACTCTATTATCTGAAAAATGTTTAAGTGTCTAGCAATACTATGCATTCATTTTCAAATTAATTTATTTTAATTAACTTAAAAATAGTCTTTTGGGGTGGACATTTGGTGCTGTAGCTGTTTCCTTCTAGGATGTCCACACTCCATCATAAAAGGCCTACTCTGAGTACTGGCTTTGATCCTGCTTCACTTTCCTACTGAAGCACTCACTGGAAAGCATCAGAGATGGCTCAGCGACTTCAGGGCCTAGGACCCACAGGAGCAGGTCTGAACCATCTTTGGGTTCTTGGATTCAGCCTGGCCTTGACCTCGCTGCTGGGGGCAATTAGGAAATGAACCAGAAAAATGGAATTTCTCTCTCAAATAAAATAAAAACAAAAATATTTAAAGAATTAAACGTATTATTTGAAGATGTACTAGTATATGTTACATATAATGTAGGAAATTCAGTATTGTAATATTCTAACTTATAATGATCCAATCTGTTTTCAAAATTACTCTATTTGAGGATTATAAACAATAATACATACAAAATGTATGACAGAGAAAGTTAAACTGAACAAAATAAATACTATAAATGGACTGTTTAATTTATTCAGTTGGCATTAAACAAAAGAGGTGGTTGAGCAAATTTTGACAGTATAGAAATGGGTGAGGTAAATGCCACATCCAAACTGAACCAAGTTAGGTATCTATGCACCTCCAGGTCTCAGACCACACTTTTTAAAGCATGGTTATGTGAGGAGCAAGGTAAATATAGCATACATATAAAATAAATATGGGATAATTTATAGAATAAATACAGAGTAAATACAGAATACAGAACAAAAGCAGCATCATAGCCACAACACCACACACAATCTGTGTATCATGAGGAATTTGAAGTTCAGTTAACTAGAGGAATGTCATATGGATTTGATATAAAGTACTGCAGTTCTCAAACACAGCAAAAGACACCCCACAAACAAGACAGGGGATCTGGTTTCTTGAGTGAAATGGGAGAAAACAAACTGCATGTTGCCAGCGGCATAAGAGAAAGCTAGTCAAATGGAAAGCTCTTTCTGTTCCATCTATAAGTGTGCACATAATTTTTTTTCTGCAGAATATTCTTTATAAAACAGTCACCACAAAAAATTATGCTATACAGGACTCAGCTGATAAATCCATTTGGCTTTCAAAGTGCTCAGCTGATAATAATATAATGATTCTAAGCACTGAGGGTCTATTAGGAAGATGAGCTTTGGGACATATTAATGTTCTAGTGATGATGAATGATCAAAATGGATGCACTTTAAGGTCTCAGAATACTAAATCAGATTATCCCTTTTGAGATTGCAATTACTCATTAAAATAAACAGAAATACTACACTTAGACAAACAACAAACTTCAGCCAAGCAAAATATAAGGAAAATGATCAATCAGAAAGTTTATGTAACTGTAAAAGAAAGTCAAGCATTTGCACAAACTGCTGTAACACACTTAAGACAGGTCTCTACGGTTCATAATTGTGCAGAGGGAGGAAAGGTGTGTATATAGAAAATGGTGACTGAGAGCGGGTGGTCCGGGTTTAAACCCAAAGCCTTTCCATGGTTGCTGTATAATTATCCATGCAAATTTTGATGTGTTAATTATCTATAACCTACAGTTTTCTGATCCATTCACAACACATAAAAGTAATATTGGGTTTATAAGTCTATGGAAATAAGGAATCCATTTACTAAGAAAAAAAATCCTAGAGAGGGGTTAACATTGTGGCATTACAGGTAAAGCCAGAGCCTGTAATTTCAGCATCCCATATGTTTACCAATTCACATCTTGCCGCTCCAGTTCTGAACCAGACCCCTAACAATGGCCTATGTAAAGCAATGGGAGATGTCTCGAGTGTGTGGACCCCCAGATGAGACTCCTGGCTCTAAATTTAAGCCTGACACAGCCAGGGCGTTTGGGCCATCTAGGTATCATGAAACAAGTAAATGGAATGTCTCTCTCTCTCTCATTCTCTGCAATTCTGAGTTCAATGTAAGTAAGTATTTTTTTTAAATACTTGAATGAGCTTCAAAACTATGATACAGTTTTACAAATGATAGATATTTTAGCAAAGAAAAAATGGTTGACTTGCATCAATGCCCCAATCATTTGGATACGTGATTACATTCATATATTTTGGTGATATTCACACGTATACTCAAACATATGGAGGTTCATTCCTATATAATTTATTGCATACACCCATGATTTGATGAACTTTTTTTCTTTTTTAAAGTTCTTATTAGAATGAAAAGAGACTTTCTGTATTTCATAGGTATAATTCTAAGAAGACGTTATAGTTTGCTCCCTTCCTCTTCCTCTTTTGATCTCCCTCCTTCCAACCGATGTGCCTGAATTTGAGAATCGGTAAATAGTAAAGCACACTTCCAATGTATTGCTAGCCAAACCGAGAGCAGAAGAACTTAGACACTACTCCAGGAAATACATCCCTGAGAGAGGGACAGAAGTAGTCAGAGAGCCATCCATTGGAGATCACACCGCAGGCCAGAGGCAGTATGATACTGGCAAGTGACTTTTGGCAAACTCATAAAGTCCTAAGAATTTTATTCCATTTCTGGGTTAGAGTAGACTTGCCTACCCAAGCACTAAAGCAAACTGGATGGGTCAGACCTTCATAAAAAACAAACAAACAAACAACAACATATCCTAGTGTCATTCACCAAAATGGACCCTTTTACAAAGTCTACGGTGAATCATCTTCACGCAAGTATGACTGAATGCCTCGCTTGCTCTCTCCTAGGGAAGAACCAGTATTAGGCATGAGTCCTAAAGGATGACAAGTGGAGCCTTCATTACTATATAAATGCAGCCCCATGGCCTGGATGCTGCCACACAGGCTTCTGTAAACTCCAGGACAGTTACTGGATGAAGGTCGTGTCTGCAGCTGGTAACAGTCTTCTTCAGGACTACAGCCGGGTACTCAAGCAGAAGCCATGGTTTCCTATATACATGGCCACTCCCACTTTTCTTACTTCCCTTACCTGACTTAACTCTAGGACTCTCACCTTGGGGAAGATTTTGGTCAGTCACTGATGAAAAAATTGAGGTGACTGTCCAAAGGAAAAGAACCATTTCATCTAGGGCATATTTATGTACTTTCTTTGGCCCAGAGATTCCCACCCCACAAAGACTCCTCAAAGCCAACAAAAGTATGATCTCCACATGAAATCAGTGAGCTACACTCACTTAGTGGTGACATGGCTTACACCTTCTCATGGAAATAGAAAAACACTGAATCCTTGACTTAATCCCCTCCTAGAAGGAATGTGAGAATTTGGAGAACTAAGATCCAGACATCTAAATTCCTCAGATAATCAAGGTCAAACATGTTGACCTCTATTGGCAAAAAGCAGAAATCTGTTTCCCTTGAAAAGTTTAGTATCTGAAACTACAAAAATAGGCTTTTGTAAATGGCATGTTAACATCAGGAAAGTCATTGTAAAAGAAAAATAAGCGAAAGATTCTGTACAAAATCTCGTAATACTTTAAAAAAAAAAGGCATGATCAACCATAAGGATGGACCACATAAATTAGGCAGTTAGTGACTCCTATTTTCATATATATAACATTCATAAAAGAATACATATATGTATATACATACATAAAAGAAAACATATATTTGTATCAATTTTCATGATATTGTTGCACAGGCACAGCGATTGCCCCTTCCACCATTCCCCACTGTTTCCCCCACATTATTGCACTACAGTCCTTCAGCAATGGTCCAAGTCCAACATTCTGCCATCAAAGTATATCATGGCGTTGTAGATGTACACAATAGTAGAAAGGCTGGTAGCCTATTGTCAAGACATAGTTAACAGTTTTATTATCAGCCCTCCTTTTATTTGGGAATCGAGATGCATAGTGTAACATATCTTCACTTCCTGAGGTCCCTGTCTCCATTACACATTATTCATCTATGAGAATAGATGTATATTCATGTTTACTTGCATATTTATCTAACTTGTACTTTTCATGAAGGTTGCCTAATACATAATGGTCTCTAGTTTAGCCATGGCATATCTAAATCAGCATAGCTTAGAGGAAAATCATAAAATCATTCTAGGGAATTGATTTAATAACACTGTTATTCAGCAGGGAGGGAAAAAGCCAGTTGTTACTGCTTAGAAAATTCAGTATAGCATGTGCAAGTACATTAGTGAATATATTTACCTTAAACTAGACATCAGCTTTCTCACTGTTTCTTTGACAAATGTGCTTTGAGAAGATGTTTCCAGTGAAGATGCAGCTTCACAGCCATCATTCACAGAAACTTTATCTTTGTGTCCAGATCTTGGACTGAAGTCCCCTGTTGACACACTGAACAAGCTAAGAGTTACAGTTTGAAAAGCCACAAATAGACAACTGTCAGTTCAGAAACAATATTTCATAATAATGCACAAAAACAAGGACATAAATGCAATGTTGAAAACCCTCACATATGCTGTTGTATAATCAATTCTTAATTAGAAGAATTACTATATGTTACTATCATGTCTCGTGCCAATATTTGGGAATGGCCACAATTAAATTTAATGGGTGATAATTTATTCTTAACAGTGGTCATATGTCACTTGTTTCTATTTGCTGAAAGACACTTTTAATCTAATGTTCTGTTTTAGTCTAGAAGAAAAGCACAGAAATTCAAAAAGAGAGAGATGGAATCAGTTGAAAAAAACTGGAGGAAGAGGAGTATTAAAACTGTGATCATCTCAGGCTACAAAAGAGTAGAGCTTCTCAGTGAAGAGTGAAAAAGTCAGAATTGTTGGGGTAGGGTATGCAGGAAGTCTGTGGTGCACAAAGTCACGTGGAGGGATCACAGAGCTTCACACTCAAGAGAGACCACTGGAGTGTCTTCAGTTCAGAATGGACCTTGTCATTTCATGTTTTCATGCATGGAAGCAAAGAGATCTGATACGAGTATTAAAAGGCTATGCAGCTCTACCACATAAAATAACTCACAGTAAGAATGCAATGTTTTCATTTTGTGGGAACAAAATGCACAAGGGGATTGCAAATTATATAAAATGGGAGACTAAATTGGGACAAGGGGAGAGCTTTATTGGTTAAATAACAAGGATATTTTTGTAATGCTTACATGGTGACATCCATAAATCATATTACAGCTATAGAGAATTTGTATTCTTGTATTGTGAAGGTCCTTCCTTAAAAACAGGATGGCAGGTTATAGCAAATGTAATTTGCCCCTACTCTCAGTAGTTCTTTGGTATTTATTATACTAATTCCAGATGATCTGCTAAAGATTAAGAACATTATATAAACTGTACCTCACTTGTCTGTTAAAGAATACTGAAACAGTATTTAGTTGTTCCGTAATTATAATCTCATGTCATTCTAGTCATTGAGAGATATTGGAAACTCCTGCTGGTATTGGGGGTAGGCGACAAAATGCACCTCTAATTCTTGTCTCGAATGACAAATAATTAGGGGGTCTACCTCACACACTTTCACTAAGGAATGAACAAGATACACAAAGAATTTAATTCAACTCATATTAGGAGATCAATAAACAGTGCCTAACAATTATTGCTATGATTAACTTTATCATCACAATCATTATTTATTTCCATTAGGAATATTTTAGTTGGATCACAGTATTAAGTTGGATGACACTATTGTATGTATGAGGCAATCACTAGTGATAAAAAAGAAACTCCACAGTCTCATAAAAACCTGAGAATAATATATGAGAATGTTTAAGTTGTTGTACAGACATCAATGTTTAATTTTTAATAACTAATGCTAGGTTAAGCACTGGCCATGAGAAGTAAGAGCACTGGGGAAAATCACATCACTTTCCAATCAACTAGTATCACTGAATGCTGTTCTGTGTGCTAGGTCCCACACGTGAGCAGGGCAGTCCCTGCTGTCATGAGATGAGTTAGCTTCTAGTGGTAGAACAGAGTGATAAAAGAGACAGTTGGATAAATGAGATACTTTAAGATAGCAATAAATGCTTGAAAAACAAAAGAAGATGATGTGATAGTAGGAGTATGACTTGTAAGAACTAGGTGGATTATTTTAGGTGATATTGTCAAGGATGACCTTTCAGAGGTTGTTACAAAGACAAATCCAGGCTTCTGTCTTAGGGATGTATGTGTGATTATAAGAGATTCAAATACACAATTCCACTTGGCTGGAAATTGTCCATTTTCCTTGTTTATTGAACACAACTGATATTCATATAATTATTAAAGTTGAGCAATTAAAAGAAAGTCTGATCCCTGCAATAGTGGTTCTGTGAATGCATCTGTCCCTGGACAGTCAGGGATCCTTGAATGCACGGGTAGTGGATACTGATGCACTAGTTGCCGGCAACATAGAAAGGAGCACAGACAGAGAAAAGAAAAGATAAAAAACAGGACTGTAAGTAATTTAGAACGTTCTTAAAAGAAAGGCAGAAATGATGGGGATTGTGTCAAATTAAAGAGTTAGTAATTTGACTTGGAAGAGTGAAGTGATGACATTTAACTATTGAAGTAACTACTCCACCAACAAGTTCAGAGAAACAAACGTGCTCGCGTTCTCTCTCTCTCTCTCCCTCCCTCTCTCTCTCTCTCTCTCTCTCTCTCTCTCTCTCTCTCTCTCTCTCTCTCTCTCTCTCTCCTTACCCTAATACAATGTGCTCCTACACAGAAACCAGAGAAATGGGGTCTGAATTTCTGGAAAGAAGCCTAAGTAATGACTGAAAACCATTCTTTTGATTCTACTGAATAGCCAAACAAACTTAGCTGATTTCATTTTTAAAGTAGAAAAATTCTCAAGTCAAGAAAACTGTAGCAATAACGAGACCAATAGGGGAAAAAGACAGTTCATGATTTCACAGTCATAGTTTATGTGGTGACATTTTTAGTTTACTGAACTTGGAGTAGGTAGGAAGTTAATCCTGTTCCATTTAATTATTAACAACTTTGCACAAAGAAATGAAGTTCACAGAAAAGATGCATTTCTAGTCTTTCTTGTATGTTTTAAAACTTGGTTCCATTCTTCACAGCCTTTGTTGCTACTATTTTCTTTTTCTTGTACTTAAACATTGACAATTATTTTTCAACAGTATAATTGCACTCCTTTTAGATTGTGTAATTATAGTACACTCACCTTTGCTGGTTAGATAATGAAGAGGTTCCATTTATGGCTGGAGTATCATTATGCAGCTCTTGTTTTTCTTCAAAGGAACACACAGAAAATGAAGACAAACATATTTTGATAGTCACATAATAAATTGCACTAGAAGAAATATTAGCAGTTTATTGGCTACCTGTATAATATGGAATTGTATTCAAAACTTCATTTGCAAAACTGAACCCATTTTAAGGCAATTTGCAATATATTCTAAATGTAACAATTTTCCATCAAGTGTATATAGTGTATATAACAATCCAAGAGCCTTTGTAGTGTGGTTTTATTTCTGAAATGTAGTTAGCTGGCATTTATTGCCAGTGCAATGCCAGTCAGGACTGTGCAGATTTCCTCTCTCTCACCAGTCTCTGCCAAGATAATCAACTGTTTGCCCTCTAATATCTCACTGTCAACATTTTACATTAAGATTCAAAGACATTCTGACAGATCCCAATAAAAAATACGTCACAAGTAGAGAGATGAACTTTAGGGCAGAAAGAGTCCTGAGTCATTTAATTGATCTTCTCTCTCGGGAACTTCAGAATTATAATAATTACTCAGAGACATTACTGATTTGCTTTTCAGTCCGCAGTGAAATAGCAACCTTGTGATCTCCATGAATTCATTGTTTTTCAGTACTTTGGGAACAGTACAAAGCATCATAAATAAATCATCATATGTCTGCACCTATTGGCCCACAGAATTCTTTGTTATAACTGCCCCGAATAGCTTGTTTTACTAAGCAAACCTTTCCCAACAAGCTGAAAACCAAGTATGACAAGATGGCAATAAAAAAAGTTTTAAATAAGGGTAAATGGCTCAGGATGTACCTGATTCCTGTAAGCAAAGTAAAAGAGAATGAATGGATCGTGCCAAGCACACTGTAGGCACCATCCGTTTTACTCACTGACTTCAGTACCAAATCAAGGTGTTAATCCAATAGCCCACTAATCCGTAATCACAGTTATTTAAAAAATATTTCGCAATTTGTTCCTGGAAAATCCTATAAGTATACCTGAAATCAAGCATTAATTTTAGGATAAAACTATATTGAAAAATTTTCGACTGCATTTGGAAATTAAAAAGGTCTGTACTTGGAGGCACAATAGTTTGAAATGTCTATGAAAGCTCGGCTTTAAAATTAAAAGACTCATTAAAAAAAGTCTTGTTGGTGCAACAACAAATTAATCAGTATGAAAAAGTAAAAGTGTGATTTCTTAGGGACATCAATAATAGGTTCAAACATACAGAATGGATTAACAGCTGATTAGGTTACCTGAGCAACAAAGCATGAAGGAAGGAAGAATTACACCCAAAAGTGAAGATAAAATGATGACATGGATTGATACATTACAAAGGACTGAGCAAGAGAGAGACAAGCTGAAATCTACTAGGAAACTCAGAAGAGTTTTACCGCTTATTTTACAATAAGACAGTGCCAATGGAAATAATGGATGTGCTGCTCAGGCTCAGTGTGGAAAGGTATAAAAATCATGATATTGTAAAATAAACATAATCATAGTATTCTAAAAATAAGGTAATAACAGCAAATAGACAAAGAAAACAAAAATTTTCACATCCGGCTTGTTTCCGACTTCCTGATTCAGAGAAATTATTGTTGAGGTGATTATAAGATGGCATAGGTTGACATGTGGCATAGCAGATAAAAGTCGTTGCAATGCCAGCCTCCCATAGGAGCATCAGTCCATGCCCCAACTTATCCACTTCCAATTCAGCTGCCTGATAATGCCCTGTGGAAACCAGCAGGGGATGCCCAGGAAGCTGGGCTTCTGGTACCTACACAGAGAACCAGAAGCTCCTGGCTGCAGGCTTCAACCTGACCCAGCACTAGTTAATGCAGCCACCTGGGGGGGGTCGGGGGGTTGGTAAACCAGCCTATCAGCATTCTATCTCTCTCCTTCTCCCTCCCTCTCCCTCACTTCTCTCCATCTCTGGAACAATACATTTTTGTTTCGTTTTTTTTTTTTTTAAAAGATTTATTTTTATTATTTTTTTATTGGAAAGGCGGATATACAGAGAGGAGAGACAGAGAGGAAGATCTTCCGTCCGATGATTCACTCCCCAAGTGAGCGCAACGGGCCAATACTATGCCGATCCGAAGCCAGGAGCCTCTTCCGGGTCTTCCACGCGGGTGCAGAGTCCCAAAGCTTTGGGCCGTCCTCGACTGCTTTTCCAGGCCACAGGCAGGGAGCTGGAAGGGAAGCGGGGCTGCCGGGATTAGAACCGGCGCCCATATGGGATCCCGGGCGTGCAAGGCGAGGACCTTTAACCACTTGCGCCACCGCGCCGGGCCCTCGTTTTGTTTTGTTTTGTTTTAAAGACTTATTTATTTTTATTACAAAGTCAGATATACAAGAGAGGAGGAGCAACAGAGAGAAAGATCTTCTGTCCGATGATTCGCTCCCCAAGTGACCACAATGGCCGGTGCTATGCCAATCTGAAGCTGGATACCAGGAACTTCTTTCCAGGATGCCCACACGGGTGGAGGGTCCCAAAGCATTGGGCCGTCCTCTCCTCGACTGCTTTCCCAGGCCACAAGCAGGGAGCTGGATGGGAAGTGGAGCTGCCGGGTTTAGAACCAGTGCCTATATAGGATCCCAGCACGTTCAAGGTGAGGACTTTAGCCACCAGAACACACCGCCGGGCCCATGAACAACACATTTTTAAAGGTAAAAAGAAAAAAAACCCAGATTGTTGACACACTTCTTATCTATATCTCAGGCTCTCACATACTCATCCTAAAAATCCTCAAACACTAGCTAATATATGTAACTTAAATGCTTTGTTTACCTTTGTTTATAAGAACTTCCTTTTTTTCTTGTTTCAGTAAAACATCACTGTCACTTCCATTTAGAACCTGAAAAACAAGATATTTCTTTAAAACTGTGCAAAGCATGGGACCCATTATAAAGCTGAGAAAAGCCTGCATCAGAGGAAACAGATCACTGCATTACTAGTGGTGATAAAAGGAAAGATGGGGACGCTGTATAAATGATACAGGCATACATCTCAGGCATGACTGCATTATCACTGACATGTTTATTTGTATCTTAAAGGAGTTTTTACATTTCTACCACTATTTGTACAAATATATATATTTTTAATTGGTATTCTTGCATGGACATGACAATGTCTAATGAGTCAAGTACTGTGTTCCCCAGGAGCAGCCACGGGGTCTCTAGTGCCTTCAGCAGGCTTGCCACCCTTGGCCATCGTAAATGGACACAGTGTGGGAGCTAATATCAGTGCAATGAGGACTTTGGGGAGTCTGAGTCTAGACTGAATGGAGAAGGATGAGGAGTTCACTTGGAGTATGGGAGAATGGTTTGTATCTACCTATATGATCCTAGGGATATACCTAAAAGGGGCTGTAGAGCTTAACGTGTGGAGTGTAGAAGCTAGGAATGTTAGAGGCACCTGCAGCAAGGAAATGTGCATCCATGATGTAGGGCACATGATAGATAGATAGATAGATAGATAGATAGATAGATAGATAGATAGATAGATAGATAGATAGATAGAGAGGAAGGAGTGGGGTGTGGTAGGGAGTGTTACTCCTGTTTGCTGTTGCTTGGAATTCTTGAAATACTCATTTTACAAAGTCCTACAAAGAAAGTAGGAAACATATTTCTTTAGATGAGAGAGGGGGAGGGAAGGGAAGGGAAAGGGAAGAAAGGGGAGGAGACAGGATGGTAGAAGAGAAGAGGGAAAGGAAGGGAAGGGAAGGGAAGGGAAGGGAAGGGAAGGGAAGGGAAGGGAAGGGAAGGGAAGGGAAGGGAAGGGAAGGGAAGGGAAGGGAAGAGGGAAGAGGGAAGAGGGAAGAGGGAAGAGGGAAGAGGGAAGAGGGAAGAGGGAAGAGGGAAGGGAAGGGGAAGAGACTGAGAGATTGGTTCTGCCTTTCAGGAAAGATTGCTCCACTGATGTATCATGTGAACTGGTGAGAAGGTAGAGAAATAAGCAGTAAGAAAGAAAATGGGAAAAGCCGCTGCTAAAGCAAAAGCTCCTGTTTGCTGCCTGATCCAAAGAACTGTGAACACATGCTCAGACAGAATCACGCCCCCATCTCTGTTCTCTGATGTAGTGTGCAGCTGTCACATTTTTTAAAGTGTGCTCACATGTATTTATCCTTCACCTTTCAAGTTACCTGCTAAACAAACATGGTATGGATAGGATGCCAGCCCTCTTTTGTATCCCTCCCAGAAAATAAAGGCATCTTTTTACATAGCATTGTAGAAACTGTGCTCTAGCAGGCTGCAGGTTAAATGGGCACGCATGTAGCTTAGCAACAGAATAACTGTGAAGCTATCTATCATTGCCATTTTCTATTTTATCCAAATCAAGAGAAAGAAAAAGCCTTGTAGGTAAGAAAAAATAAAACTGCCTGTAAACTAGCTTTGTCTATTTCAAAATATTTTATATTGTAAACACAAACTCCAGGGAGCAATCAAAATTTGTGTGCTATAGAGTTTAAAATTTTCTCATGGTCTGACACACAGGGAATCCAAATGATACTGACTCCAGTTCTGTCCTTAATTGTTTTTAAAGACTTAACTTATTTTTATTGGAAAGTTAGATATACAGAGAGGAGGAAGACAAAGAGGAAGCTCTTCCATTGTTGATTCACTTCCCAAGTGGCAGCAACTGCCAGAGGTGAGCTGAGCTGAAGTTAGGAGTCAGGAGCTTCCTCTAAGTCTCCAATGTGAGTACAGGGTCCCAAGGCTTTGGGCCATCCTCGCCTACTTTCTCTGGTCACAAGCAAGAAGCTGGATGGCAAGCGAGGTTGCCAGGACATGAACTAGCTCCCATATGAGATCATGGTGCATGCAAGGCTTCCACAGGGTACCACTAGGCTACTGTGCCAGGCCTTGTCCTTAATATTTTGAGCAACTAATAAGCAGCACAGATTATTTTCCACTTGACTTACAGCAATCACAAAATACACTTACAAAATGAACTACTTACTGCCTTTAGTTAGTCCATGATGATACTATGCATGATGCATTAATTTTATTTGATAACTTCTTCATAGGATGAAATAAAAAAGATGAAAATACCCAAGAATAACAAATGAGATGGCACTCCAAGCCACAAGCTTTGGTTGTCAGTATTATTAACAGAATCTCATGAAACTTTTTCTGTATTTTATTATTTAGTTTTTTGCTTTGTGTTCTGCCTTACAGTTCTTTCTATTACTATAAGATAAAGTCGTTCATGCTCAAAGCTGTATAAAACTTTACCATCTCAATTGCAAGAGGTATTTCATTTTTTTTCTTTTTTTATATTTTCTTTTTTGGGTTGAAGACATAGATGTGTTTAAATGCATTTTTGATAAGCAGTTTGCAGTCTGCAGTGTTTCCTTTTAAACGTTGTGTAAATATCTGATTTCATAACACGTGCCCCTCCAGCTCAATGAAGTTGTAGGTTTTAGGACCTGAATTTTCACTGGCATTGTCGTATTCTGACCTTACCAACAAGGCTCTCTCACATGCACTAATTCATTTTATTATGGAATTGTCCTTCAGCTAAGGCCCAACTGTGTTTCAGATTCTGCAACCTGGGGATATCTCTTTTCCAAGATTTTTATTTAAATCATGAAACTGACAGAACCTTCCTCATGGTAAATAAGATTATAGTTTAGTCTTAACATGAGCTTTAAGATGCTTCAATTAAAATTATGTTAGCAATGAGCAGAGTGGGATTTGTCAGTTCTCCAAAGGGATGCATGCAAAGGATTAGTATAATACTGCATGTTTAATTTGCAAAGTGTCTATTTAAGAAGATAAATAAATTACAAGTAAGTCGGGGGAGAAAGAATCATAGGGAGGGTTATAATAACCATCTCATTCAATACTTGCTAAGGAAATTAAAAGGTACCGCTTTATCTGATCTCTTTCTTGCTACATCTTTGCCTTGCAGTTGGTATCAAGGACACATAAAGGCAAACAGCAAAATGCCTTTCTGCAAAATTCAAGACACTTTCTGTTTTCAACCTTCCATAGTTAGCACTGTTTTCGAAGCCATTCTCCTTGAGTCATTAACTTATTCATGACACCTGCTTTTCCTATTCATCTTTTCTATTGGCTGAATCTCCAGAAGACTGGAAGCTCCACGGGGCAGGCACATTATTGGCTTTATTCTCCCTTGTTGACTATTCTACATCTAGGAATATAAATTGACAATAGTCTCATAGGACAACACAAAGTTAAAAAGCAACTTGTGAAAATGCACATGTGTTTTTCACAATGGAGGTGGAAATAGTGTGGGGAATTGAGTCCAAGGAGGAAAACACTTAGGTTTATATGTCTCTGTCTCATTCTTTCTCTCTCTCGCGCATCTGTGGTATTTTTCATCACAGAACTAACATTGCCTGATACATAGGGTAAGTGGTCCTAATCCAAAATTCAGGGTCCAAAAGTGTTTCAGACTTCCAACTTTTGCAGATCTTAGAATATTGCACATATATAATCTTGAGAGGATATTCTAACGAAAACATGGAACTCAATCATTATATATTATATAAAAACACACATAATAGATAGTATATTTTACATATTACCAGAGCTAATAATATATAATACTCTCAAGACTTTGTAGTAAAAAAATTGCATACATTAAACTGTCAGACAATGTGGCACTGTGCATTTCAGATTCAGAGTTGCCAGATAAAGGATGCAATATTCTGCACTATCTTTTTCTCAGTTACGTCAGAGTGCTCAGTGTGGATGAGAGAAGGAAGGAGTAGTAGAAGTCAAGGCCTCAGAAACTGTGGAGACTTAACCTCCAGACGCTGGACGTTATCCAGGGCCTGGAGGATCATCAAAAGGACACTGAATTCTGCTGTAAGTATGAGCACAAGTCATTGGAAGCTTCGCAGCAGGAGAACAATTTAATCCAAGCCATATTTTACATGTACTATTCATAGTTGTAGACCATGGTGATTAAGAGAAACAGTATGATCATTCAGAAGGCTCCGGTTACAGTGTTGTTAGGAACAACTGGCAAGGTGGTCTGAGTGGAAAGTGCAGAAGTAGCAAGATAAGCTCCATGCATAAAGACTAATTCACCAAAGTTGCCTTGTAGGTTGAACGTAAATATGAAAGGAGAGAAATTCAGGTGATCCTCAGGTTTTGCTTGAGGAACTGTAAAAGGTGCCATCTTCTAAGCATTCATTAAGAGTAACTATTCAAGTCTCTTTAAATTCTTTCCTTTCTTAATTTCTACAGCCTTCTATGCCTCCATTTTGCCTAAGCAATGTATTCATTTTTCTGTCTTCCTCACTACCCCAGTGAAACAATTAAAATGTCAAAGAGGTAAGCTACCTCTCTGGATTGATCAATGTCATCAAGTCTTGGCTCCAGTCCCTTTCAAGTGACCTCTTGACACAAATATTCTACTGAAGCTTTAAATCCACATTCCTACCCTTGCTCACTTAGCCAGATTCTTCTGGTCAATTCTCCTTTTCCTGTTGATAGCACCATCTTTCTTCTTGCTTGCTATCTTGATATTTCCATTATTTAGTCTTTTACAGTTCCTACCAACTTTGTTATTTTTTTCTTCCAGATTTCTTGTTTCCCTCATCTTCTTGTGCTACAACTTTAAGACAAAAATGTACTATTTGTTTTCTTTTTCGTTGTTTTGGTCTTTAATTTCCTTTCTACTATAAATGATTCATAACTGACTATTGTAAACATAATCCACATTATTAAACATCCTTTCTCAAAACCTTGCTAAAGATCCTTTCTGTTTTGTCTCAAGCACAAACTCTTTCTCAAAAGATATATTATCAGCATTCCTTAAGAATCATCCTCTAGGGGCCCGGCAAGATGGCGCAGTGGTTAAGGTCCTCTCCTTGCACGT